CCACTCCCCCCCCCCAAACCAAAATTTTATTGCAGATTCGGGGTCCTCTCGCCAAGCACAGAACGACCCCGGTTTCAAAAAAAAAAAATAAAAAAAAATTCTGGGCGTTTTTTTGGCCCAACCGGTTTACCCGGGCGGTCCCCCCGGGCCCAGCCCAGCCAGGCAGGCCTGGCTGGGCAGCGTCCTCACTCAGCTTTTTCTCGATTTGTGCGTTCATCCTTGCGCAGGGGTCATTGTCCTTCATCTCTCCTTCATGCCTCCACCTTTCTCCTCCATCTGCCCTTGATCTTTCCTCTGTCTATCCTCCATCTCTCCTCCACCTTCATCTCTCCTCCATGCCTCCACCTTCATCTCTCCCCCATGCCTCCACCTCCATCTCTCCTCCACCTGTCCTCCACCTTTCCTCCACCTTTCTTCCTTCTCCCCTCCATATATCTTCCATCTCTCGTCCTGTCCCCTCCATCTCTCCTCCATATCCCCTCCTTCTCCCCGCCATTGGTGGAATAGTGCTTGTCAATTCGTCCACCCCCCTTCTGCTTGCCATATCCCCACCATATCCGCATGTCCCCACCGTAGGTAACACCATAGGTAACACTCCTCACTCTCCTCCCTGCCCTCAAAACCCCCTTAAAAAAAAAGGACACCCCGTACGACTCTGCATGGTGCGGGGCTCGGAGCGCACGGCCCTGCTCAATTCTGCACCTGCTCTGGCATCCTCGGCACGTCGTACTCCGCTCCACACCACACCACACAAATGTGCGGCTCGTGCAGTTGCCAGTATGCTATGAACTGATTAGACTGTTGTTCTGCATGTGAACACTGGTCCAAATTTTATATTATTTTACTTTTTTTTTTTGCAAGGAAAAATGAGCAATAGCGAGATGACAATAAACAGAATGCACAATCACATTGAAGACCAGATGGTATCACAGTGTCCAGAGCGTAGCATTGCACCAATATAACACCAATGAAGAATCGTAACACTGAAAACCAATGTCAACGAGAGCTTGCTCTCGCCACCACCAACATGAGTATCCAGGTTCTATCTCCCTACTTGGCGCTCGGCGCCCAGCCTACTCCCTACACAGCTACTACTAGCCTACTAATTGGCAATGCAACTGTTGACGTCAGCAGCCTCCGAAGTACTTGAAGATGTTGCCCATGCAGACCATCGACAATACTAGGTATGTGCCCTCACATCATCATCATCATCATCCTTTTCTCTCTCTCCCTTGTCTCTCTCCCACGTCTCCCTTGTACACCCGAAGACCACCCCTGCGCCTCACTGTACAACCAAGCCCTCAGCCAGCTATGGAGGCTGGGCTATGGCAGCGCCCTGTTCCCTGCATGACCGCACGCGCTTGCACCTCGCCTCTCAGCGCCAGCAGCAGCCCACGAGCGTCCGCTCCAGCAGCGTTGCCGCTAGCATGTGAGTGCCTGAATGAGGCTGACCAAGGCGAGCTCTTTCCTATATGGA